ATGATGCCACACATGTTCATTTATTTAAATGTACTTCAGAACAGAAACGTATAAAGACATTTTTCCTGACTTGTATAATCATAAGTTTGTAACTAAATACAGTACATAAATAATAGTTAATCTGCTAGAAAATGCCGCAGTCCAAGTATTATCTTCAATTAACTTTAGACATTCTACCTGACGCCGCAGTACAAACATTATTTTCAATTAACTTCAGACATTGCATCTGATATGGAATCATGTCTAACAAATTCTGAACCCACAGGTTAAAATGTGATGACACAGACCAAAAATTAAATCATCCTGTCTCTTTTCGTCCAGTACTTTATTTAGGTATGGTCAGCTCTTGACCAAACTGAAGCCATTTATAAGCAGAGAGCTGTGGTGTTTATATGTTACAGAAAATCTAAATATCTGACTATTACAAACGAAACAACAGAGATATTGTTGGAACAATTTTTCTAGAAATTCGGGTTTCATTTATAGGATGTAGTTTCTTTTTTCAAAATGTTCATCTTCATAATGAAGAACTGATCTCAAGGTCATATGTTTTTCTTCTTCTTGAACTATCCATTTCTTTATAAGTAATAATTAAATACATATTACTTTTTTCATACAAAAATGACTATGTTACGTATAATTGTGTAATATTCTATATTGCTGATATTCTTTCGTGTTTTCAAAGTTTCCATATTTACAAAGGTGATATTAACATTTTCCCAATTTTGGAATATTGTAAATTAATCACATTTTATAACTGCTATTAGAATTACTTACTCTGTTTCCAATCGTTCTCCAGTGGGTCAGCGGTAAGTTTCTGGATTTACAATCCTAAAATCCGGGGTTAGATTCCCCGTGGTGGAAAGAACGCACATAGCTTATTGTGTAGCCTTGCGATAAAATAAACAAACCATTTATGATAATTTTCAAACTGTTGGCCATGATTATGCGGTATCGCTGGACACCAAAATTTCCTATGTAACGAGGTGCTGAGTTCAATCTTAGATCATAAATGTTGACAAACGTTCCACAGCCAATCCCCTATTCGTGGACGGTAGCTTCCAAAATCATGTTTAAACAAATCAAATGAACAGAAGTTTTGTTTGTTTATTGAGTTTTGTCCAATATTACTCGAGGGCTATTTGAGTTAGCTGTCTCCAATTTTTAAAGTACAGACAAGAGGGAAGGCAGCTAGTCAACACTACACACCACCAGCTCTTAGGTTACTCGTTTACTAACTAATAGTTGGATTGGCCATCACATTATAGCTCTCCACCGATGAAAGAGCAAGCATGTTTGGTGAGGGGATTAGAAACCATGATCTGCAGATTGCGAGTGGAATGCCCTAACCACCAGGCCATGAACAGGAGACCACCAGTACGTTGTCAGGTGACATCGTAAGTAAGTTGGGGAATGGTTTGATGTGGATATTGGTTTCTATCTCTATGATTCTTAGAGACGGTGCTTTGGACTTAGACGCGTAACGTGACGCTTTATCCTGATGTAAACATACCTACTTGGCGCCCTAGCCAAGCAGTGCAGAAATTTAACCTTATATAACGGGTATCAACACACTGTGCTGATAATGGTTAGAGTCCACCTTTGTTTTACTGTGCACTTTGTAAAATTTTAAATTTCTATTGTATAAGAAACCTAACATAGCCATAAACTCCAACGAAAAGGTTCTTTACATTCACTTTCCCATGATGGAAAGTCCAAATCAAAAATTGGTCTCGGTGGCTTAACTAAACGCAGACCTTGCCTCAAGTGAAAGGTAAGTTTCATACATGTTTCTGCAGTTTTTGTAGGATGGAAGAAAATTGTGCACTCACGGTTTAGTCTTCTTTACAAATACAAGAATAAAGAAAGCAAATAATATAACACCAGAACACTATTAAATTCCCTAACGATAGTAATTATAGAAGTAAAATGTAAGTTCATATTTTTCGTCTGTTTCTTTACGATACAAGACCTACCTGAAGTATATTTTAGAGTTGTGTGTGAAGGGCATTTGAAAGTGTATGAAGTTGTAACAATAGATAATGATTCGACTACAAGAGGCTATAACTGATTTACTTCCAGGCCATAGCCAATACCCCTCGTGGGGTGCCGGTGATGGCTGGGAAGGAGGTATAATTTCAACATCTAATTATCACAAAATATCAATGTGAAAGGCGAAATTGTGTGTTGACAATTTTGTTTGTAGCGGGAAATCTGTAAATCTACATTAGATTAATAACTTGGAGCAAAGATTATTTTCTGAACGGCGATTATTGCGTGTTGGAAAAGTAGGACAACAATGAGCAGAGTATGGAAGTGGGAGTGTTTGAATAGTTGCAGGAAAGTTACACAATTTATCAACAAATGTTTAAAAGTATCAAGTTGTACTGAAGTGTTCGAACATTTGCCATACATTACTTCCTGTGTAAAGTAATTATATTTTATGGAACTTTCATGTACATTGTTGTTGGTGTTGTGAATGGCGTTTTACTCTGTGCTGAGAGTTTATGAATTTCTTTACATGCTAATTTTCTCAATGTTGTCTTGATTGCTTTTCGAGGTAAGCCATGATACACCACATAAGTAGATGCGCTGTCATTGCAAAACACAGTTCAAAATGTTATAAAACCAGGCTTCCTCTAATTAATAGACACGTTTTCATGAACAGCAAATCCAACAGACCTTTTTGAAAGGTTTTTCTTAATTAGTTGGCACATTGTCAATGTTAATAATGGTTGGAGACGGCTTGAATGGGTAATGAAGAAAAACTTTAATATAAGTTTAACACAACAGCAAATGTACAACGTTTCGACAAGGTTTCGTCATCTTCAGGTATCATTATTAGTCTCAAAGTGGGTTCCTCGTCATCGAATCGTCAATATTAGTCAGTCATAAAACGAGAGCCCCCCCCCCCCCACCAGTGGCACTGCAATATGTCTGCGGATTTACAACGCTAGAAACCGGGTTTTAATACTCGTGGTGGGTAGAGCACAGATAGTCCGTTGTGTAGCTTTGTGCTTAACTACAGACAAACAAGCATAAAACGAGTTGGCAAGCTTTACCATACTAGTTATCATGATGATATGGCTGAAAAGTCATAGGAAGCTTAGTAGAAAGGCTTCGCCTTGTTAATCTATTCGCTCTCGTAAAAACCAAATCAAACAGGCCTGACTGATAGATTTCACTATAATAGATAGTATATTCCCACGAATATCAAGTCATATAAAGACTTGGTAGGTAGACTTCGCCATAATAGTTTACACGATCTTATGAATAGTAAATAAAAGAAAAAGGCTTGGTGTGCAGGCTTCGCCATAATAGTTTGTATGATCTTATGAACAGCAAGTCAAAAATGGCTTGGTAGGTAGACTTCGCCATACTAGTTTGTATGATATTATGAACAGCACGTCAAAAAAAGGCTTGGGAGGTAGGCTGTACCATAATAGTTTGCACGATCTTATGAACAGCAAGTCAATAAAGGTTTGGTAGGTAAGTTTTACCATAATAATTGGCACGATCTTACGAACAGTAAGCCACAAAGGTCTGATAAAATATTTCTTCATCTAATTCGACTTGTTTTCACAATGATGCCGTAGTTTTCCACGTAATGTGCTACGAATATGAAGTCAGACAGGTTGAGTCTGATTGGAAGGATTTGTCCACTCTAACTGGACAAATTTCAAGTAGTTTATACACTTTTCTTAGTGAAATGTTTCATAATTTCCTGTACCAATCTTTCTTACTTTTTAAAGAGTTTGTTAAGTTAGTTAAAAATCTCACGAATAATCTCTAACACAACCGAGGAATGTTTATGTGGAAAAAGAGGATAAAGATGTATGGATGAAAAAGAGTCTGTCCTTAGACTGAGATACGTACCATAGCAGGATGAAGTTGGTAAAATAACTGTAAACACAATCAGCAAATCATTTCAATGACGTAGGATAATCTAAGTATCCTTACTGGAAATAAGCTTGTTGTTGTGTTATTTATCCGTGACGTAACTGTGTTGAGAACAACTGACATCATACAAGTCTTCCGATGGCTCAATAGTAAACCCGAAGGCTTATAACACTAGAATTACGAGTTCGATCGCCGCAGATCGTGCACTAAAACAAAAAGAAACATTGTATTCACAATTAGGATGCTACAAGAAATACATTAGTTCAAATTAGATAAAGATACCCAGATCATGATCGCCTGAAAACCATAGTTTATACGATGCCTGGCCCGGCATGGCCAGGTGGTTAGGGCGCTCGACTCGCCATCTGCGGATCGCGGGTTCGAATCCCCGTCATACCAAACATGCTCGCCCTTTCAGCCGTGGGGGCGTTATAAAGTGACGGTCAATCCCAATATTCGTTGGTAAAAGAGTAGCCCAAGAGTTGGCGGTGGGTGGGGATGACTAGCTGCCTTCCCTCTAGTCTTACACTGCTAAATTAGAGACGGCTAGCGCAGATAGCCATCGTGTAGCTTTACGCAAAATTCAAAAAACAAAGAGACAAAACAATACAATGCCTGATTATTTATTTTATACTGCAGAGCTGTACAATAGGTTATCTATGTTATCACAGGGATCGAATTCCGAATTCTAGCGATACAAGTTTTCTAAGTTACTGCTTATCTAACGGGGAACTTGAAAATGATTAAATTAAAGTGTACTCCAAAAGAATATGTTCTGTACTCCAAAAGAATATGTTCTGTACTCCAAAAGAATATGTTCTGTACTCCAAAAGAGTATGTTCTGGACTCCAAGTGTGTTAGCTAAATAAACTTAGCATTGCTTTTGTGTATAAAAATAAAGTGAATTAATATAAAAATTAAATATATCCATCGAATTTTAAATAAGGTTATCATTTCAATAACGAGTGGTGTCATATCTGAAGTGTATAGATATCAGTTGCATAACACAAGGCAATAAAATACGAGCGGTTTACAGATATTTTTTAATATCATAATTAAGTTATAATAACTTTTTACTGTATTTATTCGCCATTATTTTGATGTCTCGAACAGCTGATATATAATGGATCATATTAATTGTTTTTGTACGAAGGTATGCTACAATGTATATCAACACCAAACATAAAAGGTCACACATGTTATAAATATCCCTGTTTTTAAATACATTAAGCGTCAATTCAATATTTTGAAAGACTTGACATTTTGTCTGACTTTCACCAGTCAGATATGAATGATAACAGACGTTTCGAGTTACAAGTGCTATAATCCATTCTGACAAAACATTAAAGATAATTAGATGTTTGAGAAAATCGCAACCAATTCCATACTTGTCCATGTTCGTTATTGTTTTGTTGACACTCATGTAATTTGTTTGTTCACGACACACACAAAGCTCACGTGATTTCTGAGTGATGACGCGCTTCGTTAGAGATATATCCACATTAATGAGCACAGCCACAAGACAGAAATTATAAAAAAAAACTCGGCGTTTTGAAAAGTGACCCTATTATCTTATGCGATGTTCACAACACACTCGTATAGATACATGCACAAAAGTTTACATAAACATAGATTTGTGAAGAAAGAATGAATGTTCACCATAATGGGACTTATGATACTAAGACACGATTCCAACTCATATCATACTTGTTAATCAAATAAAAGTGTGTTGTGCTAAAGATCGTGAAAGTTTTTCTTCCCGAACTGAAGCAGATTTCATAAATACTCCACGATATCACACCTTACGGATGGAAAGGAAGAGTACAAGGGTCCGGCATGGTCTTTAGAATATTTTGTTGAAGGCTCATCTTCTTTTAGAATACGGTTGAAGTAGGGAAACAACGTAGGTATCACACCACTTTCCGTCCTTCGATTGTGTATCACTGACACACACATGCCACTAGGATTTTCTATATTTGGCGCTGTTAGTGGGCGTAGTGTCCCAAGACTTTTCGCTTTTTGTCGGTTGCCTGATTTACTTTGACTTGAAGATTTTTTTCCTGTATAAAAAGTAATAATAATAATAATGCGAAACGTAAGAAGTTTAAGCTACTTTTAATGTTTCTTTCCTTGGAAAAAAAAATCACATTTTCCCCACGACTCATGCTAAAATGTCACAGTATTTAATAATAATTACAACTCCAAATATTGATTGTTAAATACATCATTATTTTAAACATTAAACTCTAAGTTGAGCTTAAAATAAATAGATTAGACTCATTTATTCTATTAGTAAAAAGAGAACATGTTTAGCTCCCAAATGACTGAGTGGTAACTCTGATGGCCTTATAACATTAAAAACTGGGTTTCGATACCCATGGTTGGCACAACACAGGTAGCCCATTGTGTAGCTTTACGTTTGCCAACAAACACACAAAACTATTAGTAGCAAAATAATACATTCAGCGAATTTGAACTTTAGCAAAAGTGTGGAGGCAATTTTGTACTTAAAAGAGGGTTGTCAGTGTTATATAATTAAACCTCTACTGTGTGCAATTTATCATTATTCCAAAGTTGGATTTGAAATTAATTTTAAAACTAGTTGTTTTTGTGGAGTAGCTCCACAAATGAAAACTAGGGGAAACAAAACTAACTTGTAGCTGTTATTATCTAAATATTGACTTTGAGAATACCGAACTTTTCTCTACAAGTAAGATAAATAAATACATATATATAGCGTGTGTCGTAAGTTATTGATTTGTTCGAAACATTAACCTGTATAACCAAAGGGGTGGTAGCTTTAATTAATTACTGATGGAGAACAGTGTGAATAAATGCAGCATTGAGTTAATTTCAAAATCTTTTAATCAGACTTTATCATTTCTTCATGTAACAGAGTGTAACAACAGTAAGTTCTATCTAATCGACAAATATAAACTTTAATAACATTTAATTGAAGGTAGAATATACAAACCTAACAGAAAGAGGTTATAACTCAAAATGAAGGTTTATGATAAATACCCACTTAAGACTGCAGTTGATAATTATGTACCAATATAACTAGAAAAATGCCCCCCCCACCAGCGGTATGTCTGCGGACGTACAACGCTAGAAACCGGGTTTCAATACTCGTGGTGGGCAGAGCACAGATAACTTAACTTCAAACAAACAAAAACTAAGAAAATACAGTCTTGGATCGTGTTCATGCTAAATTATGAATTTAATATTTGGTTTGGCTATTAAAATACTGTAAAAAAATGTAATAGAAAAAGGGAAATGTGTCATTAGAGTGGTTCAGACATTTACTTTTATACATGATCACCCAGTATCGCAATATGTCGTATAAGAAAATGTTTTAAACGCTTAAGTTGATCTTGATCATAAACACTTCCGTCAGAAATATATTATAACAGCCAAATAAACCTCGGGAGTTATCTACACAGTAATAAACATAATAAAAAAAAATCAAATTATGCACTGTTTGGGTTCTCTGTTATTGTTGTGCGCTCCTTCCACGGCAGGGAATCGAGCATCGGATTTTAGCTTGTAAGTCCAAAAACTTACTGCTGATTCGTCGGGGGAACTACTAATTGAGAGGGCAAGCTTTGTTTCTAAGAGTGAATTCGTTGTTAGCATATTTTCAAGAAAACTCAATTAAAAATTTGCAAACATGGCTATAAATGTATTATTTCTACTGTTGTTTTTATAGGAGAATCCGGTTTAAGTAATAACAAGATGTCGTGCATAACTCCATATTTGTTAAAAAATACGTTCTGATATTACTTTGTCCTTAATTAATTCTAAAACTTATATGTGTAGCTTAAGTTTCTCTTTTCAGTTGGATTTTTATAAGACTTGATTTGGCAGTTTGACAACTTAGTATGTTGTTTAATTCAAAAATAATCAATAAAAGAGAATAAAAAACTAAAATTTAATACAATTTCTTTTTATGTTTAGCGAATCATTAATCTACGAAGACACAATACAATAGGATTGAAAAGGAAGAAGACAAATAAGTACTGACATTTTTAGGCATTTTTCTCAATACCATTAAACTCACCAGACAGACACCATTAGGGGTAACATTTGTGATAAAAGCCACGCTAACTACAATTTTTTTTTCGCATTCCTCTTAAGTTGTCAATTGTGTGTTCAAAATTAAAGGCGTTTACAAATAGAATTTAATATCTATGTATTGTCTCTCACAAATCACTGCCCAAGAGGACTTGCGTCCAATACCAGAACTCGTCAGTTGGGCTTGACGATGAGAGACAAAATATTCTCTGAAGCGCTATTTGAATATGCAGTATAATAGTTTAAAAGTTACGGTTTAAATGCAGTTTTCATCATGTAAACCATGACTTGACAAAGTAGACAAATTAATAATAACATTATATGTCCAATTTAAAAGAATGAAATGGCTATCATGAAATCACATAAACTGATTCGATTGACGTAGTTGGCTAGTACTATGTTTTAATAAAAAATATAATAAAAATGTGTGTTAAAATTCCTTAAACTAAAAAAATCCAAGTAAGAAGCATGATTTTACAAGGCTAGAATAAATAGCCCGTGCAGATTAAATGCAGAATAAACAGTCCTTCCGTTTTTTGATAATTTTACTTGTGTTTCTTTAGAAGATAGAGATTGATGAGTTCCATTAGATGAACCTTTCCAGAATAAAACATTCGAAACAAATTATATTATTTCAAGATATCTTGATGAAGGTTGAAAATAATTCCAGGTTGCCTTATTAATTAATTAGATGCATAATCAGCAATTCACTGTTGGAGTATTCGAAACAACAAATAAACATTTTTGAATAATATAATTATTTTGGATAGACTTATCTTAACTTATTTAATTAAAGCTGGATTAATTGAGCTTAAATAGTTATAAAATAGTTACACTTTGTTACACGAAGAAAAACCAAAAACTAAATGATGATTAAGATGGGATACCAATTTAATTATTCCAGAGCTATTTTTCTTTTCTTGGCAACTGAATCTGTAAATATTTCAGGAAAATAACACTCCCTTTGTCTTGGAATTTAGTGTGTCAAAGAAACCAATATTTGTAGTCTTAATGAGCACGAGACGAATATTTGTGTATGTAAAGAAAAAGTTGAATACTCAGAGGACAGGACATGCCAATAGAAGAGTTAGATGCATTTTGTACTTTATTATATGTAAATTATACGTATTATATGTTTTTCGCAGCAAAGAAGGTTATTTCTTAAAGGTAAATTTTCCTGTGTTATTTTCAGGATTACATATATGTTTTTGTGTAGCACAAGTAAAACAAATATGTTAAGCCCTTCACTAGAATAAAAATAACATACTAAAATGTCTACAAAAGGTATTTTGAGAATGGGATATACCAATACATGGGGACAATTTTAATTTCGGGAGCAGATCTGAAAATGAAATCCAATTAAGGACTCGAGAGTGTCTTGTAATTACTAATGCCACTAAATGAAATAACTTCTTTTACTCAGATAGTAAAATATTATTTAGTTTTCTGTAAGATAATCAGATGAAACTTTCATAACACTCAGTGAAGTAAAATGTTAGCTTTGTACGAATCTTAAAATATGATACTCGTTTTTATTAAATAATGAAAATAAAACCTTCAGTTTTATTAAATAATGAAAATAAAACCTTCAGTTAAAGGAAGAAAATTATTGTCACAAAAGAAAATGATTCCAAGAACTTGTATTTTCATACACAGTGTGTGGGCTCCAAACAAAAATAAAGAAAAGGAGATAAGATAATAACAGGAAGAAAAAAAGTTGATAGTTTCAAGATATCTGAGGACAGTAAAATACATAAAGCTCTTGGAAATTTACAAAATGCTATATACACACTGAACAGCAGGTGAACACTAAGCGAATACTGAAGTAGTGGAAATATTCAATAGTAAAACTCTATAAAAAGTGAACTTGGAGATTTTTCTGTGATTCGAATTTTATGTGGAAGAAGATACTAAATTCATTTGAAATATTATGCAAAAAAAACACGAAAAATAGTCAACACTCTAACTTTAACATCTTAGAAGACTGCACAATACAACAATAAGTGAGATTATAGGTGATTCCTAAACCTTGTCCAATAATATGAGATTTAAGATAAATTTATACATATACATATATAGTTACGTTTACTTTAAAATTGACCACTTTATCGAAGGTCCTAAGCTTTTCACAATCAAATATTTATTTTCACGAATAATATTTGATAATCATTAAAATATTTTACTCGAGTTACAAGGAACACTCGTTATAGCAACATATTAGGTTAATTTATACCTGAAATACTCAATTATAGAATAAACTATTAGTTAATTTAAACTGTATCTATACACGTCTATAACAAATTTATTTTTGAACTAATCACATTATTTTGGACAAAATGACTAGAAACTACTCATGCAAGTTTTTTATTCTCACAGTTCCCTCACAGTGGCTCAGTGGTAAGTCTGAGAGCTTATAACACTAACAATCGGTTTCGATATTTAAAGTTGGCAGAACAAAGATAACCCATAGTGTAGCTTTGTATTTAACAACAAATAAACAAACCTCCATAGAATATAAAGGAAGAAAAAAAACCCGAAAGAGTTGTGAAGGGGCCCTAAAAATTGAGTGGTATGGGTATTTTTGGGCTTCTCGGGTGTAACTGAACAAGTTAAACTCAGAATTGATATTAAAATGTGAGAAGCAGTTAAAACAACAACATAACTTCAGCTTTTTCGAAATTTTCAAATTAGAACTTCAGGGCTGTTAGTGGTGGATCGTCTTTAAATAAGTATCAACGTTTACATTTTTTTTAACTTTCATACATGGGCTCCTTAATTGGTTGATCAAGGAGTTTAAAGAATATTACAAGATTAGCTGCACGGATTTACTGAAAATGTTGTTTGTTATTAAGCACAAAGCTACTCAAAGAGCTACCTGTGCTCTGCCAACAAGGGTATCGAAAACCGGTTTCTAGCGTTGTAAGGGGGGAGGGGAGGACTCACTGAAAATTAACAGAACATAAGGTGTGCAAAATTATTTCATTGGTATTCAAAATAATAAAACATGAATATCAACTCCAATCACTTGCCGTTAGTAAATTTTACCTTGAAATTATTTCTTATAGTGTATCATTTATCCAAAGTAACTTATTGTTCGAACTACGATAACATAATGAACAAAACTGTACATGAACAACTTACGTTAACTTTAATAAATCGTAAGTAATTTAACCAAACCTTTGTGAAGTGCTTCAATATCCAGCTCATCGTTGTCTTCATCGCATGACGACGACATCCCATTTACTATGGCCCTCTGGTGGAAACTTCTGATAGCTCGAGCATATGAAGTGTCATCAGATTCTGTAAAGGTGTCTTGTTGTTTAGGCGTAATACTACTTTCCGAAGAGCTGGCTGAATCACTATTGTTCTTAGAGTCAGATTCTACATGATTAAAGGGGTGACTAATAGATTTTGCAACTGACAAGGGACGCATTTCTATTATTGTTGTTAAATCATTTTCTCTAAACCTAATTTTTCTGACCTCTGGCGTTAGGGAAGATATACTCTTGGAAGAATCATTTTTCTGAGCACAACATCTCTGTTTTATATCCTCCACCTGTGCCGTTTCTTGACAGTTTCTGTAGTTGACGATGGAACGTTAGGAAGCATGCAACAAATATGTGAACGATTAAATAGAAACAACTTTTATTACTAAACTGCCCTACCATAAAGTTGCGATCGTAAAATGTCGTTTGATATATAAGTATGAGAAATAAGATTTATGAAAATGTGATAAAAAATTACTACACAAGAAAAAGCACTATAAAATTCTTTATGTCACAAAACATATATGTATGATTATTTAATTTCAAATTATTGATCAAAAAAAAAAAGAATAAAACATGTATATCAGATCTTTGTTTTATTTTAAACCAGTTTGTCAGGCAGGCGTTAGCCCTGCTATGTAGGGATGGCTTAGATTGTTCATCGAAATGGTATTTTAAAAATCTCCCCAAAAGGTCATCAGAACTTTACAATACTATACAGTGTTTCCTTTTATAACAATATCTATGTAATGACTGAGTCATAAGTTCTGGGTATGTCTGTAAGTATCACCTGTCTATTAAATAAAAAACTACATTAAAAACAAGCAAACAAGTAAAGAAAAATATTTTCAACTAAGAAAGTAAATGTAGGGATGGCTAATATCAATCCTTGAAAAACAATACAAACAAGATAGTAGGGATGGCACTTGCATCATCCCTACGTTATACCACAGGCAATTATTAGCATATAGCAGTATATATAACTATTAAATCACAATTGAGTTTAATTTATCCTTTTTTTGTCTGTTAAC